CCGGCTCCAGCGAGCGGCCGGGCCGAGGGCCCGCCGGCACGGGATGCAGAAACAGCTGCGGCAATTGCACTGATCCCCCTGGAGAGGGGGAGCAGTGCCGTGTACAGCCGAGTGCCGCAGGGAAGGCTGTGGCGCCAAAATTATTCCAGAGGAAAAAAAAATATATATATATAGAAACTCTGTGCGTAGAAATGTTTTCCGTATCTGCCAACCAGATGTTCTCGAGGGCAGATGTTAGGGAAATCTCAATTTTTGTAACACAGACGAGTGGTGTAGGTTTAAAAGGATTGGAGCATGGTGCCAATAACAGCAAGTTGGTAGGTTCGATCCCTGTAGGGCCGTTCACTCAGGGGTTGGATTCCATGGCCCTTCTGGGTCCCTCCCAACTCGGAATATTCTGTGATTCTGTGAAATGCAAAGCTCTGGGAGGTTTCCAGAGCCACGGGAATCCTGTAGCACTCGAGACTGCAGCTCGTAGCTGGGAATAATAAACATATTTGCAAGACAAACTAGGTAACAGTTAAATAAACTACTAAAATGGTAAAATAGATTGTTGCAGTTCTGTAGTTGATTTCTGCATAACTAGATACAGTCACAGCATGTTTCTGCAAACAAAACCTTGCAACCAATTGTATTATCGGGGCTTTCTGGTTTATTCACATGGACAAACTCAAAAAGTTAATTTTTTGCTGGCAGGTTAACCTTAGGTCTGGTCCTTATAAGAATACTATGAATATCAAGAGTACTGTGAATATGTGTACTATATCTTCTGGGGTGTGTTCAGTGATTAAGCCATTAATATGGCTTTAAAAATTGAAAATTGTTACTAACAGTAATGATTCATTAGGTTAATTGGATGATCCATGTGATTGTTACAAAGCCTGTGCTTTCTCAGAGAAAATTGTGTGGTGTAATATTCTGACTAAAGCAAAAATCCTGCTGACTTCAGTATGGAAGTACCTATCCAATACGGCAGCTGTTATGTATAGCCTTTCTTTACAGTGGGATTAAACATAGAATATTCAATAAAAACTCAGATTATTATAAGGGAGACTAATTTCAGTATGTGTGTTTTACTTACCAAAATCAAATTTACAGTCCTTCTAGCTGTATATAGATCAAAGTTCAAAATTCCAAGTGTTCAATAACCTGATTGTACTTTTCCTCTCAGAAGGCAAAATATTTTGCATTAAAGCAATGATTAGGAGGAATGAGTGAAATTTTCACTTACCACGTGCATTCTTTGCATATTGTGCAGCATTTATCAACAGAAATGCCTTGCAGATAATTCCTCTGTAGTTTAACATTGAGAAAACAGGAAAATCGAAACGAATGGAATGTAGGCTGTGGTTAAATAATTATGTATTTTATCAGTAAAACCGAAAAAATTTGAGGCTATCCTAAGGGGTGCCTAAACTAACTGGTAGAAACTAATTAGGGTTAAAGCTAAACTTTTTGTGACTTGCACTGTTTTTAAGCAGTTCTAAACCTGCTGGATAACTGATATTTTCCTAAATATACTATTTTTTGTTTTATTAATGAGTGAGATCCTAGGGACAAAGGAAAACAGGGTTCTGGTCATTCTTTATTGCTGCTCATTGAATCTGAGTAAATTCAGCCTAAAAGATACAAGAACAGAAAAAAAAATACTATTTTTCTTTCTCTGCAGAAAGACAGGCCTTCATTTACATCTGAATTTCATATGAGAGTTGTCATAGTAAGTAGAAATTGTTTTCCCAGCCTCAGAACATGTATCACATAAGGGCCAACTACACTGCAGTCCTTAGTGACTACAGGGATTATTCTTTATGTAGTTCAGTTGAATATTTTGAAGTTAGCAGCTCATGGAGATCAGAGCTCCGCTTTCTTATCAATGAAATAGAGGTTTCTTTGTTTTATTTCCTTTGAGTGAAATGACTACCTCAGCCTTCACTTTCATCTTAGTGATTCAAATAAGAAACAATGGAAATCTTCATGTACTTTCTTTGCAAAAGCTACTCATAGGATATATCTTTGATTTAAATGTAGCAATTAAATAAATATATATGCTTTGAAAGGTTAAGATCTGTCAGTGTTGTTAAACTGAACACTTCTGTTTACCTACAGAGTAGGTATTGTGCAAAGAGCTGAAATAAGAGCTTCCTTCCTGGACTCACTGTTGACCTTAACTGAGACCGCTCATGTTCTGTTTGTAGAGCTGAGATGTTTTCTGTGATCTTTTCACAGAGCTTCTCTGATTCAGAAATTATTAATCTGCCAAAGAATAGATAACGATCAAGAGCTGAACCAAGACTGTCACAATATGAACAACATAATTAACAAAGTATCTAATCAACAGGCCTATTATGGATAATTAATTCTTCCAAATTAATATTTAAGAATCGCTACAAAAATGTTAGGAATAATTTTAAATTGTGATGCTTGATGTGATAACTTTAGTTAAAAATCTGTGAAATAAATTTAAGATTTTGAAGATTCAGGGAAAGAAGTGTACAGAGTTTGCAGCAATTTTTTTGTAATCTATATTCCTGGTCTTTTGCATAATGTGATTAGGTTTTCACATCTTGGGAACTGAATTCAATGCCTTCACATTCTTTTATTTTAAATAGAAATAATGCTCTGCATGTTAGTTGAAAGTCTTTAAATATCCAGGTTTTATGGTTATAAGCCAATTTTTTGCAATCTATTTGGATATTTTGAATTTTATTTTTTTGATGCTCACTGAATATTTGCTGCTTAGTGATAAGTTGGTTTTATGTTGATTTACAAGTAATTCTTAATGGCACACAAGTGTGGTAGCTTTTTGTGTCTCTTGACTGGGTAGATACAAAATTTAGAACTGGAATTGCCAGTTAAATTCTCACTTTTAGGAAATCAAATTAGTTTTCTAGTATTCTAGCCAATATTCATAAAATTTTCCCTGTTACAGAAATCACTAGCTAAATTAGCCCAAATGTTATCTGTTCACAAAAGACCTGGTTGGAATTTTCTTCATTCCATACCTAAGTAGGGCAGGCTCTTTCTTAATTTTTAGCTGAAGTAGGTTGGATACAATATAGATGTATTTTTTCATTTTGGGGAATGATTGTGCTATGCAGTCTGTGCTTTTTGTTCATGAACTAAGTAATAATAAAGTCAGTAGTAATCTGCTGCTGATCTTCCACTGTCAGGAGTAAAAGATCGGATGGGAAGATGTTCTCAATCCTTTCTGAACCTTGTCCTTGGACTAAAGTATTGTGCATCCTCTCTTACATTGGGTGAAAAAGTAAATACATTGTCTGATACATTTAGGTAACAAAAAAGCCTCCAAATAGTACGGACAGTTCCCTTGCTTTCATCTTCCATTCTTTTAACTATTTTGAATTCAGTACAATGGAAAAGGACTTAAAAGCACTTGGTGTGAATAACTTAATGCAGATCTGAAAAACAACTGTTGGGTAAAACTCAATTGACTCTGAATGTGGTCCATATACAAACTGCTGAACTCAAGCTGAATTCTCATGCGAGTATTAAATTGCAGTGCAGCCTTGGATTGAACCTTTAGGAAGGAAACAATACATAGTATAGTGTGTTTGATACCAGGAAGGCTCTATATTTAAGCATGCAAGTATTTGAACTTGATGAAGACAAAGAAAGCAGAGAAGAAAAAGGCAGTTTAAAAGGTGAAGAGGGCATTTAGGAGAACAGAGAAAAAATGCACAACATAAAGCTATCTAATTTATCTAGGTATGTTATTCCTCACCTTGAAGGTTGTCAGCAAATTACAAAAAGACATAGCTGATCTGAAGAATTTATTTGATAGAAGACCATCTTAACCTTCAATTATTCTGATTAAAGATGTTAGATAGCTTCAGTGTTTGACATCTGCGTTTTCATAATCAGCAATATGAATATAAGACTGTTCGGTTCATTCCATCTTTAAATGTGCAAACAAAACCAAAATATCCAAATTTATCCAAATATCCAAAAATCATCCTCTTTATCTAAAATAAATCTGGATAAACAATTCTCCTGCTATTAGCTAAGTAAATTTTCTTACTCTCTCTCTTCTAAATAATTTGTTGAGTTTAATTTCACTTAACTATGCTTACTTTCTTGAGGGAGTACAATTGCTTTCAAAATGTTTTCCCAAGACTACAGTTTAATGATACAAAGCACTTGGCAGCAATACTCCAGCTATAATTGTTCTTGACTACTCAATCCCCAGTAGTGGTATATAATACCTCTCAGTTTGAAGATCTGATCTGGTTTTAAAAGCCTGCAAAAATGCAGGGGGTGGTGGAGAGGCAAAAACAAATGGCCAGATGTGGGAGAGTAGGAAAGAACACTTGGGACTTACTGAAACCAATTTCTTTACTTAGGAAAAAGTCTGTCCAACCCTGCATCTGTAACAATATGAAAATAATTTCATACTTAGGGCATTTAGGAACATGCTAAAGTGTGTTTTTTGAATAATAAATATCAGATCTAATTCACACAGGAAAGACTATAAATTGTGGGAACGGGCATTCAAGTGCATCATTCAACATTTACTGTAGAGGAGTTTTAGTCTCTTTTGGTGTGACACTTCGTTTCTCTATTGGTAGAGGTTAGCATTATTTTAGGCTGTGATGGAATATTGTTTTGTAGATGTCTAGTGTCACCACTCTGATTTGACTGATGTACTAAAGCAGGGACAAAGCTTCTTGGGCATGTGGAACTCACTGTTAACAAGACTGGAAAGCATAGCAACACCTCACTGCTGTGTATAGTGTGGGATTCAGCTCACTGTTTCTGTGGAGTTTTGAAGAAAAAAAAATAAACAAAAAAAGAAGCTCTTACACATTTCATTCATGGCAAAGGTTTCCTTTACCATTGTCCTTCACAGTCCATTACCACTTACATATTCTGTAGGGCAAATTTTTCATGTATTTTCAACAGGTATTGTAATTCATTGGACAACAGAGTTAGAAGGAAAACTGACTTAAGTGCTAAACTGTCCAAGACAGACAGGAAGAGAAGGATGTTTCCTTTATGAAGACTGAATTCAGCAACTTGAATTTTTGGCTGGAGGATGATAGCACAATTCACATTATTGTTCTGGATACATAAATGGGTCTTTAAGAACATCAACTTCTAATGGAAAACTTACCCAATGCTAACCTCTGAAATCACTTCAGTTCTGAAAGTTCACTAAAAGAGCTGTAACTGTCAAAAGTATAATATCTGAGCCAGAATTGTAGAAGCAAGAAGCAGAGAAGTATATTTTCATGGTATAAAGAGAAAGAAAGAACAGCTCATAGAAAATCCCATCCCAGTTCTGCCTCATCCACAGAAAACGTGAGCCTTTGTCATGTATGGATACTAAACAGTATCAATAGGTGTGCATTCCTCCTGGAATTCCGAGGAATTCTGGTTCTTTTTTATTCAGGTTCTTTGTCACCTAACTGAGATGTAGTGATCTGAATACTTTCAAGTGGATTTCATGCTGCCAGAGAGGAAGACCCCATTATGTTTAAAAGCACCTTTTTCTTAGTAAACCAAATATATGTGAGTTGAGTTTGACTGCAATGTGGCCTTTATTAGGCTTTTCAGACCAATTTTGTACTAATGCATTCCACATAAACGTTTGAGAAGAGAGGTTTAATGGGAGGGTAGGCATACAGAAGCCATTTCTGGTTTTCTGTAACTTTCACATAATTTCAGTAACTATAGAACTACTTCTGTTGGAAGTCAGTACTTTACTTCTTCTGTAGCTCAGACAAGAAGTTGTGTAGCAAGAACAATTACTACTAAGATTCTAATGAGAAGGGCAAAACACACCAAAGATTGGAAAATTCTAAATCTTCTAAAATAAATTTTAAAAGGAAAGATTTAAAAAAAGGATGTGTTTGGAAAGGACTAAGATCTGTGATCTTCAGTCCTGAAGAAAAAAGTCCAATTAAGCAAAAAGCTTGAAGGTTTTTCAGTCTTTGCTGTCTGAAAGCATAAAAGCATGAGGACTCAGGAATAAAAGAATTACATCCGAGAACTGCGAAGATTACAAGGGGCAAGAGGAACTGTATCTTAAAAGTGCAAGCGAAAGTTACTAGTAAAACTTCCTCTACTCCAAGTGAAATTTAGAATTCAATATAAAGTAACACTTCCTGTAAAAGTACTAATGGGAAACATAATATGCAGCTTTTCTTGGCTGACAGAGCAGAAAAGAAACTTAGAGGACTTATTCCTGTTTCTTTCTTAAAGGCTAATCTGGGAGAAGAAAGAGGTAAATGTTGAATATATTGACTGAGATATCTGGTAACCTGTGAATACAGCTCAATGTACAGAACAATATGCCTTTTTTTCACTTATCTTGCACAAAAAATTTAATATTTGCTCTCTTATTTCCTTAATAAGGGTGAGTGTTACAGACTTAAAAGTTTCCGAATGAAATCATGTATTGGGTCTCTGTATCCTGTGGTCATCAGCTACGAGCCACTACTCATGTCAGGCTCTGACTACATTGTCCTGATGCAAGTGGATTACAGCACCAGGTGGGAGGATCAGTTTTCACTGGAGAAAGAACAAACTCTAATGCACCAGGACAGTGGAGGGCAGAGCACAACAAATAAGTAGCTATCCTTTGAAGCTTTTTTCTTCCAGTGATTAAAGTGCCTGCTTGGGTGCTTATGCTATACTTATAATGAAAGCCATTAGCTTTAAACAATTTTCTAATTTCTTCCTTCCCCCACCCTGCCACAAAGACAATGATTTTCAATACACTATTTTAGAAAGGAGAATTTCAACAATAAGTTATAATTATGGAACTATGTTATGCTGTTTAAAAAAATCAGTAAAACATATTCTGGATTAAAACAATACTGGTAAATATACTGCTTAATTATTGAATAGAAATTAAGAGAGGTCCTGCTGTTTTTCTGTGTTCTTGAAGGATCCTTAATGATCTGTGAGGGATTATGCCTCCCTCTGAAACAATTACCACCATATTTGTAGTGACTTCAATCTGATCAAGACATCATTAGCTGCAAGGAGTAAATTAAAGTCCAGATCTGTTATAAGGGGAAAAGCCAATTTCAGTTCTCTGAATACGTTATTAATTGTCTAATGAAAAAACATCGAAGTCAGGGTTTTTTTCACTGGAGCTGCATGTCAATAATGCAGCTATGCATGGATTAGAATAGCACTTGAAGCCTTCTACAATTAGAGGCATAGACTCATTAACCATACTACAGTATTCCCTGGAACATCCAGAAAGAAAAACATGCCTACAAAGCGTATTGCTCCCTTCCCCTGCTTTCTGCCAGGTAATACTACTGCAGGAAGGACAGTCATAAGAGGGTAGGTTCTTGTGTAAGACAGAAAGGGAAGGAGATATTTTTATCCATGCTGGAGCTTCTCCTGTTCAACATACTCACAAAATATCTGACAAAATGTTTCCAATAACAGGGCTTACTTGCAACAGCCTCCCACCAATGACTGTCAAATAGAGGCATGCACTGGATTCATGTCTACCGAATCATGAGGGAAAAAAACAAACATCAGCTGTTGCTGCTTTACCCTTTACACTGAGAGAAGAATAACTTACAGTATGTATTACTTACTCCACACAGGCACCACTAACCCAACTGTGGCAATGCACAGGGGAGTACACCCTTTCAACCTTTAAGAATAATAACAGTTATAGTAGGAAAGAAAATTACAGGACCACATGCTACTCTGATAGCTCATCTGCATACTGTTGATTTGATATTCCTTCTTTCCAGCTTTCAACTGATCCATGGTATTTGAACACTTAGCCTGCTGCTTTGCTTCACTCAGTGATCACTGCAGTAAATCCTGAGCATCAGACACCCGAACTCCGCACTGATAGGAGCCAAGACTCTGGTTATCTGTTAAACTGAATAAACAGAACTATTGCACAATTTCAACAAACAGCCAACACTTACTGAAGAGATCTTGAATACATTAGGTGCTTTCTTGCACCCTTTAGTATAAGACAAATATGCACTCAAAAAAACCGAACCTGGTGTATCACAGTTAATTTTTTAACATTTATACCTTTAATATATTCAGTATTTCTATGAATTCAGATAATTTTACTATTGAGTTTTATAGAAGTGCATCTGCTTGAAATCACTAAGCAATTTTTAAAAACACCATATGACTGACTGCTTTATAATGCTGTTTTTGACAGACTGTGTCATAATAGGAAACTTCCTACATGGAAGTAGTTTTGCATTTAAGTAAAAACCTATAAAACTCCAAGTAACTTTCCCCAGGCAGCTCTGTCTTTTACATAGCTGTAACATTTCTGGCCTAGCTAAATTGTTTTGGTGACAGCAATACAACAGCCTCTTCAAATTATGTATAATTTGTGGATTTATTATACAATTATAAAGTGAAAAGATGCATTATATTTAAGGTTGTATTTGAAAGTAATCTATTTCTATTTATGACTAATTTAATCAGTCAATTTTTAGTCCATGTAACCACTTCTATTGAAGTCAGTTGTATTACTAATCAACACTTTCAATGTATAAAAAGTATCAATGCATACAATGGTAACTCAGGTCTTTAGATTTTCATTGAATGTGCAATATTGCATACATAAATATGACACTTTATTTATTCATTTTACAACACAGAATCAACAGTTTATTAAAGGCTGCATACGCTATCTATGTGCATAAAGTGGGTATCAGTCATACCATTCTGAATTTGCATAACAAAACATTTATTCCACAGTGGGTTTTTGAATACGAAAATCGTATTTGCTCTGAAAATAGTTCCTGCAAAAAGTCACACAACCCAGGTTCTGAAAAGCATTTATGCCTATAAATTATATTCATTACTGGAAGCATTTTAATACAGTACCAGCAATTATTTTCAATGCCTCTTAAAACTTGTACAAAAAATATACATTTTCCGTAAAATCAAAAAATAAAATATCTGAAAATGTTCTGTGATAAATCTAGAAAAAGGGGAGGAATCCAGTATTAAAAGTTAAATTCTGCTTTCACATACACTATTTAATGACACCAATGCATAATATCTGTACAACTGACAGAAGAGTTTGACTCCGTCTGCAAGATTAAAATGCAACAGCTATGAAAAGTAGGCAAACTGTTTATTTCACAAGTTTAACTTTCTCCTTTAAAACTCTAAATTTGGGATTGTTTTTCACTTTCTTATTGAATATGACTAGGATCTCCTCTTCTGTTTTGTGCTGTTCACCAGCGACTGCATAATATTGAGCTATCACCTGCACAAAGACAAGAGAAATGGATTTTAGTCCTTGAAGATTATTCCATTTTAAGCAATAATACATTTACATTACTGCATTAAAAGTGGCATGAAAGCTATTGTGCTATTATTCCTTTGCAGAACTAGCACTGAATTTCTTGTGTAATTTAGTAAGCAATAAAGAATAAAGAACCTGTCCTTCAACTGACATTCTGTTCATTTATATTCCATTTAAAATGTTGAACTTTGTTTATGCAAGCCAGAATTTTCTGAGTTTCAGCATTACACAAATAAATTCACAAGACCAAAGGCGATTTTAAAAAAAAAATGTTGTACAGTACCTTTTTTCTTAGTTTTTTAATTGAAATTTCATTGTCTGGAGCCTGTTTCAGAACTGCTTTGATGGTTCCCTTCCAGTTGAATTTACCTAGAAAATAATCAGGTGTACAACATGGTTAATAAAAGTAGGTATTCTGGGTCTTCTTCTCTACTAATAACCAGCCATCAATCTCCTAATTTTGGAATCAGTTTGCTACAACTGTTGTTAATTTACTGACCCTACAGTAGGAGGGTGTCTTAAGCATAAAGTCATTAGCTGTTCCTGAATATGTAATGGAATAGAGACAAAGAATCAACACAGCACTTGAACAACAGGGGTCAGAATTATTTTTACTTAACTTCTGCACCTCAGCTATTAAGTAGAAGCTCTTAAATAACACAGGAATAGTTAAGATTCTGCCTCTTCACACTTAAAGCACAGGCAGTCAAATTTGACCATACCACCTTCAGAGGTCATTAATTGGTGGTTTTCAAATGAATTATCTGTATGTTCAAACAAAGAGTGTGTCAGGCGATAGGCAGAAGTAGGTTTATCTAAGCATAAACTAAGGTTCAACGTATCTGATGTCAAATTTATGATTCACTGAGCAAAAATGAGGATATGAGAGATACCAAGAGGTCTAAGAGTTGTTACCCTTTTTGTTGTGTTGCCTAAGTGCAGGGCAGCAGGGAAGAGATCCACTGTGGTGAATCCACAGTGTTCACTGGAACCAAGCATAGCCAATGGCTGCCAGCACAATACAAACAACAAATTCGAGAAGTAATGAATTATCAGGTGTTAAGAGTAGCACAGGCTACTCTGGAACAGATGTGTATACTGAACATACACGCATTTATATATACTGAGGCACAATTTATTTCATGGCTTCCTACAGAAGCTGTATTTGTATCATGCATTAGGTCTTGTGCAGAGTACTTTTGTAACAATCTAAATCGTTCCTTCAAGAGTACCTTTATCTGTTCCCACATCTTCTTCATTGTCATTGATGTTTTCTGTTTCCATGTCTTCTGAAATGCTTTCAGTTTTCATTCTCTTTGTTTTGGTATGAGGTTCCTCTAGAGATGGAATTGGATAGACATACAGGAGAAAGATTTAAAACTAGAAGTTCTGACATGACTTAAGTTTTTGTTCTTGTAATATGAGTTTATATTTGCAAAGTGGTTCCAATTTTATAAAAGAAAAGTGCAATCATTGTTAAAAATAATCTAATTTGTATATCTAATGCACTACTTTTAAATTCTACTTAGGTAGTTTATTGAGCTTTGGAATTAAGAAAAAGCATCTTCAAAACAAATGAGAATATAAGTTGTATGATGGATACCTTCTACATGTTTATGTTTGCGTTTCTTTACATTTGTTTCCTCTTCTGTTTCACTGTGATTGCCATTTCCATTTATTTCAAATTCATCCTCCACACTCTCTTTTCCTTTTTTCGACTTTTTACTCTTTTTTACTTCTGCCTGGTTTTCTAATTTTAGATCTTTTTTCTCCTTCTTTTTGTTCTTTTGTCTCTCTTCTTTTCGTTCTCTCTTACTCTTTTTTCTCTCAGTTTTTGCCTCTGTAATTCTATTTTCTTCTGCTTTTGTATTTTCCCCAGTTTCTGCAGACTCTTGCTCTTCCTTCTGTTGTGGTTTGTCTTGTTCTTTTTCATTTGAAATCTTTTGTTGAAAGAAAGATTATTAGTTTTTACATGGGGGTTTTGACATTGCAACGTTCCTCTACTAGACCACTGGTAACTGTTCAGAACACTAACATCCTGAAATCAATTAAATTGCTCACATGTGATGTCACCACTTACCTGAGAAGCAGCACTAGTGAAATAATGTACCTGATTCTTTTAACTTAAAAGACTAAATGCTAATAAACACCACAGAAGAAACGTTATCTTGCCATATATGTAAATTTCTAGTTGAAGTAAGTGGCTACTGTGTTTTAAATTATTTGCTAAATGCAATTAAGGAAGTGACAACTCTTTAATTTACACAAGCAAAAGTAAAGCACATTACAGCATAATGCAGAACTTATTCTCAAATACACAGCCCTTGAATAGCAATCTCTTTTGCCATCCACTTCCCTGGCTTGGTCAACAAACCGTTATGGCATGATGCTAAGAAAGGCACTCCTGGTTGCTTTAATTGTACTTTTCTCAACATATTTGGTTTTCTTTTAACGTTCCTGGGCTCATAATTATTTTATTGTAGAATAATTAATATATTAATAAAATATTTAGTGTTCAATTTAAGTTTTAATTTTAATAATTACAAGTGGAATAGAATTACTGAAATGTTAGTGTAGCTATTTAGAAAAAGAATACATCTTTATACAAGCAATTTAACACCATCATGTTTTTACAAAGAGTTATTTTAATTAAATTTGAATTCTACTTAAGAATTTCCATTGAGTATATACACTTCAAGGTATGTATCACAAATCACATCTTAAGATCTTTTTCAGAATTCTTAAAGATGAATTGAAATGTTATGTCATGTATTTTACTTTAATGCTATGCTCTGTGGACAGTGTAATTGTTTAAATTGTTTAAATAAAAGGTTTTCAGATTTAAGACTTTTTTAGAAATTACTTAAAGTCAAGGGAGAACTGCTTATGACTTTAGTGAAGTTGTATCAACTCAGTATTAATGCTCCAGCTAAACAGTGTACTTTTGTGTCCACAGTTTATGTTATGTTCCTATCCTCTAGTAAACGTGCTTCTTTCTTTCCTGGCTCTTATGTTTGGATTCCTCAGGAAAACTGCAAATAAACTTAACTGGAATCATCAAATCAGAAACACAAAGTATCAACAGGGGATCAATGCCAAAGCTATGCCTACACTCAAAAGAATGTGGGGGAAAGCGGGGAGAGCATCTTCACATCAACTGAGAAACAAGAACTTCTCCAACAGCTTTCGAGTAGCAGCAATAGATGCAAACAAACAAAACAACACCCTAACAAAACATGCTAAGCTAGGAACGAAATACCAAAGAATTAGGCACTGACAAAAGGTCAGAGTGAGTTCACAATTTGAACAAAGAAGGGAGGAACTTGTGCCACAGACTGGAGGATCTCTGTCCCCACTAATGAAATAGGTAAACCATGTGCTTGTTATTTGAGACCAAGAAACTCTGAAAGATGCCTTTTTCCATCTTAGTGTGTGCTAAAAGATTGGAACAAAGACAAAGGCAGTACTTTTTCATTTTTTTATGTACTTGTGCCATAAATCAGCCTTCTGATTATCATGGCACAATGGTGTCAGCATGTCCAAGTTTCCAGTCACAACCTATGCAGTATGAACAACTACTTCAGCAACAGTTTTGTGTTCCACAAATAAACAATTTAGTCAAGAAATGTTACATCATAACAATCTATTGGAAGTAAGGGAGACAATGTTTCCACTAACACCTACAAACAGCATCTGGAAGGTTTTCCTTCAAACATTCTGAAGTGCATTCCCATTCTATAATGTACCTCCAGTTAAACTTACGTTTCCGGTTGCTTCTGAGAAAACATCCCACACCTGATCTTGCAAATTGCTGTCATTAATTCTCAAACTGTTCTTGATCCAATTCTGTGCATAGAAAAAACAGCAATAACTGAAAACATGCACTGATTTTCTTTCTTCATTACCATCTAATTGGTTATTTTTTTTTATTTTTAAGAATCTAACCACTGCTTTTAACAAAGATCTGCTTAGAGGTTACTCCTGTCAATCTCTCAAGCCTCTTTGCTAAATTGTTTCACATAATGTCTAGGTACTGTTAGGAGGCTACACCATATATCTCAATTGCTTCACCAACAGCTATCCCCATTTTGATACAAATGGCTATGTTAAGGTCCTACCAAATCTTCTGATTGTTCCCATGACTTAAAACACTAATGATCTAATCTTATTTATTTGACATATCCTAAATGGATACCTTAGTTTATTACAAAAGAGTATAATTTAAGTAATATATCACTACAAACATTTGAAAGTTGTTTGGGTTGCTGCAAGTGTTCCTGGTGAAAATGAAAATATAGCAGTAAATTATGCTGTTCACACTATCTGCAAGAGATCAACTTTTAGAAATGTGGAATGTAATGTTAAATGTAATGTAAGGATTTTTGTATTGTAATGAAAACCCCAGGAAAGGTGCATTAGTAAACTGAAACACTTAACTGCAAAAATTTTTGATCTTCCACCACAAGGTACCTTATCAAAAAGAGAGACTTCTGGAAAATAACATTTTTCCTGCTCAGAACATTAGTTCTGTAGGGAAATATTCTATTCTTCAGCTTGCTAGCAGCAATTTCACCACAGCTCTACTAAGTTCTGTTTGAGTGTTTTGGAAGCAAGCCTGATCTTCTCTCAGCCTCACAGTCCGAGGCACAGAACAAAGAGGGGGGTAAAAAGGCCTGTTTGTTAGTAAATATTTACTTTAAATGAAATTCTTTATACACAGCAAATCTCCACATCTATAATTTACTTTAGTGAAGCATGTAGAGCAGAAGATTCTGTCAGAATACTGAGTAACAGGAAAACTCAAAACAGGATCTTGCCTTCAGGAAAAAACCAAGCCAAAGAAATAAGAAACCTTTAAAAGTATGTCTAAGAATCTGGACATTCAATAGAAATAGCAACAGTCAAAAAGGAAAGGTACTGAAAACAGAACAAACCTACATATGGAGATAAAGCTTAAAAGGTAAGTCTCTGGCTTCATACCTAATTCAACCAAGAGTCCTTTTAAGCAAATAAATGTATTTTACAACCACTGACTATTTGAAATTCAGTTACTACACAATCTACATGAATGCCCAAATAAGCAATTTGTCCTACCTTTGTTAAAAGAGAGTGGCACTCCCGATAAAAGTCTATTTTTACGCTCACTGCATGGATTACTGCAAGTCTCTATTAAAACATACCTGAAACTTTACTTTTTTTCTTGGAATGTTATTAAAGACACGCATTTGCTCCAGGATGTTCCGTACTTTAGGGCTTATGTTTGGCTTCTTCATTACTTCATGAATTTTCTGAATGAAGAAAAACAGAATTAAATCAGCAAAGCAGCAAAAGGATCAAATGGTACGTGTCAGGTGGGCAAGTCTGAAATACACTGGGTAGAAATCACCCAGCACCTGCAGCTGGCATAGTCTGCTCATAAGAAGTATTCAAAAAACATAAAAAAAACACTGACCTTTGGTTCCATCATAGTTAGATGTGTCAAAGTTATCTATAGAAACATTTATACCTATGTAGTAAGCAGAGGCAAGCAGCACTGCTCACTAGTGCTTTCTGGGGAATAAATTACAAACTGTGATAAACATTTCAAACTAAAGTAACTGTATCACAGTTTCATGTATTCATTCAACTGTATGCAGTTTCATTCTTGCAGCATGAAAAAGGCCTGCATTAAGAAAGACAACTTTTTGGTTTTGGAGTTAATTATGAAAAATCAGGCTTACTTTTCATGCCATAGCTGACAGACATTTCTTCTGGCAGCAGTGCCAGCTTCAACAAGCATTTGTCCCTATATGACAGCTCTGGATATTCCTCTGCTGTGGGTGTCAGCTGAAGAGAAGACATTAGACCGGGGCTTCATGGCAGTCCCTGGAACTGCACTGCTGCTCGTGGGGGAAAAAGGCTCTGGGGCTTCCCAGTATTTAGAGAGTGCAGCCACTGGCCACTGTAGAGCCTTCCTCTACTTCCGAAAATCTGATGACTGAAAGGTTTTGTGAATATGTTAAGACTATCAGAAAAAGGTGTCTGGTAATAATCCCTCATCCTTCTACATAGTTATTACTTACTACTGAGGCAGGCTACCAATGTTCATAAGCAACAGCACTCACACTATGCTGCCTTTACAAATGTCCTCAAACAATGTTCAATCTCAACAAGAGCACTAATCTCTGACTTTAATGGTATTCATCATAGGCTTCAAGTATGCATGTAGCTTAGCACCTTGTTAGGATGTGTGCTACATGATAGAAATCAACAATTCCGTGCATAAATGTGACCTAATGGAGTTTTAAAGATGTGTTTGAGGTCGCCCCAAAAACCTTTGAAGGACAGCCATAAGAGGGTAGGTTCCTGTGTAAGACAGAAAGGGTAGGAGATATTTCTATCCATGCTGGAGCTTCTCTTGTTCAACATACTTACAAAATATCTGACAAGTGGACAGAAATTTTTTCCAATGATATGAAGCTACTCAGGATGAGGACTATGAGGATTCCAGAAAGATCTTAAGAAAATGAGTGACTAGGTAATAAAAATGGTGGAATCCATTCAACACAAATTCACATAAAGCAAGAAGAAAAGGAAAAGCAACCCTAATTTCACATCTAAAAAGGCAGGCTTTAGTTGACCATTGGAACTTAGATAAAAGATCTCAGGGTTAAGATAGCCAATTCCATGAAAACGCCAACACAATGATCAGCAGCAGTGAAAAAACACAAACAAAAAACCATGCAAAAGTAGATTAACTGACAAAAAACAGAGAGGAATAAAGGACACAGAAAACAGAATGATGACATGTGGTAAATCTATGCTTCATTCATATCTTGAACAGCATTCACATGAATACAGTGGAGTAGGAAGATTTTAGAAGACGTATATACAAAGAACAACTGAGCAGGGTAGGATTTTTGAGCCTTGAACAAAGAATATTAGATGGGGAGGGATGCCTGACAGAGGTCTACAAAAGCATAAATGGCATGAAAAGGATGGCCAACTTCCAACGTCTCTTTGTATGCAGCTGGGAACATTACAGTAAATCTAACCAGTAAAAGATTCAAAACAAAAAACATATTTCTTACCAGGATAAACACAAACCTACAAGGAAATGCCAGAAGACAGCTGGGGATATTGGTAAAAATAGATCTCTGTCTTGAGTCATTATAGGCTCTTTTCTGTCTTTGATAGTTAGAGACAATAGTTACTGTACAAACCGTACCTGAATCCACTCCTGCTGTTTAGCATCTCCTTTGTTAGTTTTGGCTTCAAAGCCTTTCCCACCATATTTCTGGTCTTCACTTACACATTTCACGTGTTCCTTATAGTCATCACCCCTGAATATAAAGAGATTTTTAACCTCAGGTCACTTAAATGCTTCAGTCTTCAAACTATACAACACTTTGCTAACCAGTAATCTGAAGTAACAGATGGTTAAAGTGAACGGATCATTTAAACCTTGTTACTCTCAATGCTTAAATTATGAAAATGTGATATGCTTAAAGTACATGCTTTTAAGACCACAGACAGCTCTGTCATGCTACAGCTTTCAGTGAAAATTTCTGATTTGCATCTCTTGTATTTGTGACAAGAGTGAGCAAGGCTATTTCCCATCCTTAACATACCAGAAATCCTTGCCACAATCCATGCAAGACAGGCACTGACAGTTTCTGCAGATGTTCACATGCTTTTCAACCTGTGCTTTCTTCACAGCTTCTCCACAGGCATTGCATGTGAAAACCACCATGTTGGCGAGCCTCTTCCTTCCCACAGAAGTGCAACTCTAGGAATACAAGAAGAACATCTTAATTCACAGCTTGAAAGAAACACTTGAAGGGCCGAAGCGAAACTCACCGGTGCAACCACCGACAGACAGGGTGAGCAGCTCGGTGCTGCACGTGCAAGAAAGAGCTCGTTTCACCTGATGCCTTCCCTGAGCACAGGAGAGATCGGTGTCCCGGGAACCAGCAACCCCTGTATCCGCCACCCCAGCTGGGAACCAGTAACCCCCGTACCCACCCAAACCGGAGAACCGGTAACCCCCGTACCTGCCACCCCAGCTGGGGAACCGGTAACCCCCGCACCCGCCACCCCAGCCCCAGAGCCGGTGTCCCCCATACCGGAGAGACGGGTAACCCCTGTACCTCCACCCAGCCCCGGAACCGGTGACCCCCGTACCGCCCCACGCCGATACCCCGCGCCGGCGGCCTTCGCCGTCCC